TCTAAATAAATCAGTGTGTAAAACATAAAAACTCTCAACTGGTCAAAATTCTCAGATTCTCACTATTTGCCTTTGTGCATGTTTTGTGTATTTACACTCGTATATTCACAATTATGCATTGAATTGATCTCAAATCAATTCCTATCATACTCAAACATAAAAATACATTATTTTCATCATATAACATATTTATAATTATTTATCATACTATATTCAAATTTTCGGGGTTTTACAATTTCAGGTTTAACTCCTACACACATTGCAGTATTTGAGAGCATGGGTTCTCGAGCTAGTGATGTGCCAAGAGCATAAATAATACATCAGTGGCGAGAAAAGAAAGGTAGTATATATCAAATAATCGTGGCTTAAAAATATATTAAAGGATATAGAGAGATAAAGCACCCTAGAGTGGAATAGCACATGGACTCAAAAGGAGTAGAAATACAAAAATGAAATATCGTCTTAAATAAATTCAATATAGATTCACTTTTGCTTATCATCAGAGAACAAAGGTTATGAAAATGCTCAATTATTACCTTTTTCACTAAAATAGTACCCAATAACAAAAAGGTCAACTGATTTAATAACAGAAGTTTATGTAGCAATCAATATTCGATCATAAGCATAAAACTCTGTTTCATCCAAAAATTCGGCTCAACATTGCTGCTAAACGAACTCCAGCTTCAGCTAAGCTCAAGCTCACCACAGACATTCTACTTTCAAAATACTCATCTGTAATAAAAATTTGATTTAATTTACATATAGAAATAGAGAATTATATTATTAGTTAAGATTATTGTTCTGGGTTTTTATGCCCCATGTTTATGTTATGTAACATTTTTTTGGTGTTTTTACTCCTGCCACTTATTATAGGTTTCCACATAAAAAAATGAAAGATGGTTTTCATTGATTTGACCTATTTTAAAAGTGGTTTTCATGGGAAAAACCGTAATACTAAGTCCATATTTTACCACAAAGTGTTTTCCCTTTAAAAGGAAAGTGTCTACAAAGAGCACATCCTTAATAAGTATATACTACCTAAAATACATTTGTACAGTTCTATTTCAATATCATAGAAAACATCTACATGAGAAGAAAGCATTATTAGCACATAAATTTTTTTGAGACTATAAGATTAATGGTAATTGAAAAACACTCAAAGCAATAATTTAGTATATGTTGGAATTATAATTCTCTACTAATTACTAAAGCGATGAAAACATGTCTTTATTCAAAATATAATCAGAGTCATTAAGCAAAAATTGAATTACACAGCCATTAGCTATCCAGTGAATACAGAAATAATAAATAATCATGTAGGAATTCAAGCTAACTTTTTACATTAATCAAGTTTACTAATTACTAAAGCGATGAAAACATGTCTTTATTCAAAATATAATCAGAGTCATTAAGCAAAAATTGAATTACACAGCCATTAGCTATCCAGTGA